GATGTCCCAATCGAATATTTAATGATATGGTGGGCTTACCCATGTTAATAAGATGTTGGGAAATTGAAATTAACTTAGAATCACCATTAGAACTTTCCTTTAGTGGTGGAGGGACCCTTAAGGAGTTAGGTTTTTGAGAGCTTTCCTTTCTAGAGCAAATTTTTATATATTGGGGCTGTAGGGGACAAAATAGGGCTTAAAAAATGATTCCCCAAGTCCGCCACCGCGCCCCTGTAGGCCTGACCACGGACCGACCGCGGTAAATAGCAGGAACACTGCCTCACGACCGCGGTCGCGGTCCGGGCGCTGTGGTTGTGCACTATTCTGTAAAATGGGCATAACTTTTTGCACAGAGCTCCGTTTGGGCTCCACAATATATCGTTGGAAAGCTATTTCAATGGCCTACAACTTTCCTGTTTTGTATTTTCCCAATTACCTTACACGTTTTTCACTAAACCTTCTTCAAAACTGACTTTTTGCAAACTTCATAGATTTTATCGAATCTTATGCACTTCATTCTCCATCTTGATTCTAAAACAACTATTTTCACCCATACTCATCCCGCTAGGACTTCATATGTCTAAAATATCAGATTAATACCCATTTAACATATCCACACCTAGTCCGAATGTACGGGGTGTTACATGCAGGTACCTTCCACAGAGTATGTCCTCATCAGTGATGAGGGGAGTTAGAAAGTCTTAAAGAAGTGTTGCCCCATCCAGTAAAGAACCAGTGGATGAAAGCCATGCAAGGAGAGATGGAATCTCTGTAGAAAATGGCATGCACAAGCTGGTTGAACTTTCAAAGGATAAAAGACCACTCAAATGTAAGTGGGTCTTTAAACTCAAGAAAGATGAAAATGGCAAGTTGGCCAGATACAAAGCTCGATTGGTGGTTAAAGGCTTCGAACAGAAGAAAGGCATTGATTTTGACAAAATTTTCTCACCTGTTGTCAAAATGACTTCTATTCGAACAATTTTGAGCATAACAGCTAGCCTAGATCTTGAAGTGGAGCAGTTGGATGTGAAAACTGCATTTCTTCATGGAGATTTGGAAGATGAGATTTATATGGAGCATCCGGAACGATTTGAAGTAGATGAAAAGAACACATGGTATGCAAATTGAATAAGATTCTTTATGGATTGAAGCAGGCACCAAAGCGGTGGTACATGAAGTTTGACTCATTCATGAAAAGTCAAACAGACGTAAAAACCTATTCTGATCCATGTGTATACTTCAAAATATTTTTTGAGAATAACTTTACTATATTATTGTTGTATGTGGATGACATGTTGATTGTAGGACAAGACAAGGAGTTGATTGCAAAGTTGAAGAGATATTTGTCCAAGTCATTTGATACGAAGGACTTGGGCTCAACACAACTAATTCTAGTGATGAAGATAGTTCGAGAGCGAACAAGCAGAAAGTTATGGCTATGTCAGGAGAAGTCATTGAACGTGTACTAGAACGCTTCAACACAAAAAGTGCTAAGCCAGTCAACACACCTCTTGCTGGTCATCTAAAGTTGAGCAACAAGATGTGTCTTACAACAATGGAGGAAAAAGGGAACATGGCTAGAGTTCCTTATTCTTCAGCAGCCGGAAGCTTGATGTATGCAATGGTATGCACTAGACCTAATATTACTCATGCAATTGGCATTGTTAGCAGATTCATTAAAAATTCTGGAAAGGAACATTAGGAAGAAATCAAGTGGATACTCAGGTACCTAAGAGGTAATGTAGGAGGTTGCTTGTGTTTTGGAGGATTTGATCCAATCTTGAAGGGCTACACGGATACTGATATGGTAGGTGATCTTGATAATCGTAAATCTACTCAGGATGCCTGTTCACATTTTCAGAGGGAGCTATATCATGGCAGTCGAAGTTGCAGAAGTGTGTCGTACTTTCTACAACTGACGCAGAGTATATTATCGCTACTGAAGTTGGCAAGGAGATGATATGGTTGAAGCGGTTCTTCAAGAGCTTGGATTGCATAAGAAAGAGTATGTCGTCTATTGTGACAGTCAAAATGCAATAGACCTTATCAAGAACTCCATGTACCATGCAAAGACCAAACACATCGATATGAGATATCACTGGATTCGAGAAATGGTAAAGAATGAATCTCTAAAAGTCTTGAAGATTTCTACAAGTGAGAATCCCGCAGATATGCTGACTAAGGTGGTACCAAGAGACAAGTTCGAATTGTGAAAAAAACTTGTCGACATGCACTCAAACTAAAAGTCCGGTGTTACCCCCTTCAGGTGAATGGGTCCGGAGGGGGAGATTGTGCGGTCCATCCCCATAATGAAAAAGTCCAAGTTGCCAAATTGGACTTGCTAGATGGTGGGCATTAGAAAAATTTCTATGTAAATTTTCAACCAATACTTCATTCTGATTGGTCCAAGGGGTGGTGCTCTCATCTATATAAAGAGAGCTTCGATTTTCATTTTGAACACACTAATCTCAGAGAAATATCATTGAGAGTTAGAAAGCAGTGTGAGGTATTCACAGGCAGTATAGTCTGTGAGGGAAAATAGAGAATGTGAGCAGTGAGATGGGAATATTAAAATATGGTTATTTCTTTTGAGTGTATAGTGGTCCGTGGAGTATTTTACTCGGGACTACTGGTGTAGAATTCCTCATTATAGTGAATTATTTTTGCTCCTCTCGGGCTAGTGGTTTTTTTCCTTTTTGACAAGGGTTTTCCACGTTAAAATCTTTGTGTCCTTGTTGTTCTTTTTATTCCTGTTAATTTTTGTATCTCGGTATTACGTTATTATTCCGCTGTTATTACTGTGAATATTATTTCTGTGGGGGGTTTATTCCCAACCGAAATAATATTGGGTTGAATTGAGTTGAATGCTCAAATTCTTTCGGAAATAGTTCAATTCAACATGATTAATTTCGTCCCCTTATAGTTTTCATAGAAAGTAGAAGCTCTAAAAGATGATACACTTTGAAATGCTCCCTCATAAGTCATGTCATAATGAGAAAGAACGAATTTTGGGGTTTTCCTTTCTGCCCAACAATAACTGTGGGAACACTTCTACATGACTCAACTTCTTCATGACTTGAAAATATCCACACAAATCTTCTGCCAACCATACATGTTCTCACTTATAAAATACATTTGAGTCCACTCCCCACTTTGGAAACTTTATATCCTGCATTATATTTGACACAACTTTAGGCTATCTTTTTTGCTTGGCCCCCATGCTTTTTCTAAATCCCAACACAAAAAGATAGTATAGCTCTTCCGAATAGCAAAAAGAATAAAAAAATTTAGCTGCGCTATGACGTCCCTTCATTTCGATTTATGAATTAAAGAACAATCGTTAAAAGAAAAAAAGAATACATGGTAAAGTTCGGGCAATGAGCTAGCTGCCATCTATTGCTCTTTACAATTGACCTTCGTGCTAACTCTATATATTCTTTTGTTAAATTTTTGTTATGTGAATAAGATATGTTTTGTATTGATGATTCCATATAGGATGTATTACAAAGAAGTATTTAACTTATATAGACTAATAATGTTAAAAATCTGTATATGATCAGTGTATTCTAACTTTTTGTAGTAGGTTCACTGTTCGATTGTCCAAGTTGTTCATAACTTATTTTGCACGATTACTTGCAGCTATGTTGTATATGATCGTATAGTGTAATAGTACCCTATTAGTGTATAGACGTTAAACTCAATCAATCAAGAATGTGTTTTTTGCGTTGAGTTATGAGTATGCAGCATTGACTCAAACAGTGGGGAGCACACAAGCTGGTGATACACGAAACTTCACACCTCAAAAAAGAAAATTTCTATATTCGATCAATGGCTTCTTTAATTTGTGATTGTATGTCATACCACAAGAGGTACAAAGCGACCTAATAAAGGCGATTGATATTGTCCACCATGCCCTCGAATTCATGTTTTGCTATAGTTATTTGCATAAGGATATTATAATTGTTATTTTTGCCTATATAATTTTCTAAACGCTGGCCTATGTTGTGATATGAAACCCTTGTCCAAAAGTACTCTTATACCATTAACTTGTCAGAATTTAGAAGCTTTCTCTATTATTACTAAATTGTCAGTACGAAGATACGCCTCCCCTAGCATTGTTGTAATAACTAGGCAAAGAGGGCCAAAGACTAAGATGTCCTTGGTGAGTAGTGCCTATCAATTGCATTTCTCTTATCAATATGACATGTTCATAGATTACTTTATAGCTCGTACTATTTTCTTGATCTTTCGGTGTCTCCCTCTCTTCTCTGTTCCAGGGCCCCTGCCATTTCAAACGAAAGAAAAAAAAGGTAGGAATAAACATGAAATCCATATAGAGAAATAAGATAAAGTACTTCCTCCATTTTATTCTATGTGTCTTAGTGACTAGACGTGAAATATAAAAAATATAAATAAATTTGTGGTCTTAAACAAAATATGTGTATAATATACATATACCCTTTGAATCTTGTGGCTTAAAATATGATATCCATGCCATTCCTATAAGGTAGTTTAATTAATTAGGGTAAAATGAACATGTTGGAATTCAAAGAGTTACCAGTACTAAATATAGAATAGTGTTGCACATAAATTGAAATGCACAAAGTATGTTATTTCTTCAAAAATCTCTCCAAGTCAAAAATTGACTTATTCTAACCAAAGGGACTTTGGTATATGCATATTTTTGGTTGGTTTAATTTGTGGCCAATAGCTCTATAGCATGAGCTTTGCCTAAGCTGGCTGGCATGGTCTCACAAGTTGATGATATGATTGGATCATGAAACAAAGCTCGTGGGCATCTAAACTTTTTCTTTTCTTTATTTATCCCTTGAACTACTTTTTCTTTTTTCCTTTTTAATAATATTATACTTCTTTCTTTATTTTAATTAGTTTGTTAGGCAAAAGGGGTTGGAGAAAAAGTAGAAGCTAGCTAAGAAAGAAAGAAGAGAAAGGGAAGGTCACACTTGTGACCCCATTTGACAGAGAAGGCAAAAAGGAGTATAATTAGAAAAATGCACCCATCTAACAGATGGTAAAAAGGGAGCAGCACATCAACAAAAAGTAATTAAACAAAGCTGTCCAACTGCCTTTGCCTCCCCTCTTTGTTTTCTTTTAAAAACTCACTCTTCATACAGTTGTTCAAACCTCAAGATCTGAATTTTAGAAACTCAAAACAGCATTCAAGAAGTAGAAGAGAAACAAAGAAAGAGAGGTAAACATGAAAAGTAGTAGAAAAGGGAAAGGACCTCCCTCAGCAGATCTTTTAGTGTGTTTTCCATCTAGAGCACATTTATCCCTTATGCCAAAACCAATATGTAGCCCAGTAAGACCTTCAGATTCCATTAAACGCCACCAAAATCATGACCTCAAGAAAATTAGCACCAGAATTAGTGGGGTTGCAGCCCAATCTAGTCCTCTTCTTTGGTCTAAATCCAAGAATTCAGAGATAATTTCAGAGCCCACGTCACCAAAAGTCACTTGTGCAGGTATTGAACGTACAATTTTTTATTTAGATCATAGATACTCCCTCCGTTCTAATTTATGTGAACCTGTTTGACTTGGGCACGATATTTAAGAAAAAATAAAGACTTGTTGAATTTGTGTTCTTAAACAAGTCAAAAAGGGACCCAGAATATTTGTGTGCTTATAAATGCCTCCCCTTAAGGGTAAAGTTGTAAGTTTAAGCTAAATTATATCCAAATTTAAAAAAGGTCATTCTTTTTGGAACGGACCAAAAAAAATAGGTTCACATAAACTAGAACGGAGGGAGTATATGTTTATAAAAATCTTGAAATTTAGTAGTATAAGTTAATGTTCTAAAGCGTAAAGATTAAATTCTAGATTCGCCTCTGTATGTATGTAGGGCAGATAAAGGTAAGGTCAAAGCCAGGGAGTTCATGCAAAAATTGGCAATCAGTGATGGAAGAAATTGAGAAGCTACACAACAGAAAGGCACAAAAGAAGAATTGGATGGAAGCAATTGGAATAAAAAAAGATGCAATGCAATTCTTGACTTGTCTTCGTAATATAAGGTTTGAGTTTCGTTGCTTCGGTTCATTTCCAACAGCAGCTCATGACATCACTTCTGATGAAGATGAGGAAGATGAGGAAGAAGAAGAAGAAGAAAATTACGCAGGAGGCAGAGAGATAAATGATGAAGAAGATAACAAAGAAAATTCAAGAACTGTATTTTCCAAATGGTTCATGGTTTTGCAAGATGAGAATCAGAAAACAGAGAAAGATAACTCAAATGATGATAATGATGATGTTCCAAATTGTGCACCACCACCTAATGCACTTTTACTTATGCGATGTCGTTCTGCTCCGCCAAAAAACTGGCTTGTAGAAAAACAGCAAGAAGAAGAAGAGGGCATTAATGAAGAAGAAAAGAAAGCAACTTTAGCTTTGGAAGAAATGGAAAACAAGAGGAAAAATGAAAGCTTAGTGGTGATGAGATGTGGGAGTGATTTCCACAAATTATCAGCTGATATAGCAAAGGAGACATGGGTTGTGGGAGGAGTTAGAGATCAATTAACTAGAAGTCGAAGCTGGAAAAGGTGATTGAATCCATAATTAACTTCAAGATCAATGTTCTTCTGGTTTTTTTTATTTACTTACATTTTCGTTATATGTTCTGATGTTTGGATTTCTTAATTATCTGAGTTTGTGTTGGTATTATGAACTCTGAAGAATCGAGCTTTTGGTATTTGATTCTCGGGGAGTGCCGACCCGCGCTCCTACTTGTATATAGTCTGCTTTTCTAAAAGAAGAATTTCAATTTTCCATGTTTTTGTGTTTGTTGTTTCATTGACCAATGTATATCTCAGGATGTATTTTAGCGAAGGACTTTAAAATTATTTTCTTATGATAATTTCTCCCTTAAGGCTCGTTTGGTACGAAGGATAAGGGAAATTAATTTCGGAATTAAATTTAAGATGAGTTTACCCATATTTAGTTAGGATAAAATCACTCTATAATTAATCACGAGATTAATTATCTCGGGATTGTAGTATTATTTTTATCCCTATGGGAGGGTGGGATAATAACCCTAACTAATTCCGGTATAATTAATCAAGGTATAACTTGTTTTCCAACCAAACGACCCTTAATTATCTCTATTTATGTTATTGGTTTTTCAAATTCGATATTTTTATGAGTTTGTGGAAAGAAGACTAATTTTAAAGTGACAAATGCATCAAATATAGTTTGCCAACCCACATCACGAGCTTAGAGAGAACGTCCTCCTTCTCTAACTTCCTTCATTCTTGTAATGTAATCTTTCACAACCCCGTTTCCACCTACTACTATTCCCTCCGTTTCAAATTAAATAAGGTAGTTTGATTCGGCAGGAGTTTAAGGAAAAAAAGAAAGACTTTTGAAATTTGTTGTCTTAAAAGCTTAAGGGATAAAACTTTGTGGGATCATGACTTTTGTATGATTATAAAAGTTTCTCATTAAGGGTAAAATGGCTAAAATGAGGAGTTTAAGTTAATTATTTTCAAATTTAAAAATATGTCACTTATTTTGAAATAGACTAAAAACGAAAGTACCTCATTTAATATGAAACGGAGGGAATACAAATGCTAATCAAGACTCATTACAAATTCCCCAAAACCACCGGATATCAAAAAATCTATTCACAAGAAAGATGAAAATACAACGGTTAATCCAATAGCCGCATCAAAATCCGCCCCTCCCTTATTTCAAGGACAAACTCTTAGAATAAGAGGAAGTCATTAATATCACTGCAGACCCTTCACCATCCTCTATTCTCCCAATGGATATCCAAGAACATGATATGAATACCCCACCCGTGAAGGAAAACAATAAGTGTCCCATCACTATCCCTATGACCTTGGAAGATAGCAGAGAATATACTATCCATGGAAATTTTCTCTAATAATAGAACTCAAAGGCAAAAGAATTCTCCATCAACTATTGAAACGGAAAATTCAAGAGTTATAGAAAATAAATGAAAACTTTCCTCTCATAAACCTGGGTAACGATTGCTTTATTGTCAAATTACAAAAAGAAGAAAGCATGAATTTAGTCCTCCAAAAAGGTCCATACTTTATCTATGAAAATTTTCTCTCAGTGCAAAGTTGGCAATCAAATTTTGTTGCAACGGAGGCTAAACAAACTTTCTCAGCAGTATGGGTGAGACTTCCCCAACTACCAACTGAATTTTATGATGGCTTAATGCTTCAAAAAATAGGAGAAGCCATAGGAAGATGATCACGCCCAACTATGCCTTATAAAAAGGACAAAGCGGACGTTGCAAGTATAATTTGAGTATTTAGCCCAGAGTCGAATCCTCAGGGAATTAACCTACCAATTACTTTTCACACCCAAGGCCTCGTTATCCCTAATCCCGCATTTAAACCCTCGGTTATTGGTCCCTCATATACTTTGGGAGTGGTGTTGTTCAACAATTACCTAAATATGCACTCTCTCCCGAGTAATACATACTAAATAGGCACAACGAATTGAGGATCCTATCAATTAACTACAACAAGAACATAGTTGAACAAATAGAGATTAAACTGGACAAACTATATTAACATAACACGAAGTTCATCATTCAATAGGTTTCATTAAAACCTAGACAAAGTATTTAGCTACTCATAATCGTATTCATACTAACAACAGCAAAATTCATCATAAATGGTAAAATACAAAAGGAAGAAAGGAAGAACTCGGTGTTGAATTATCCTCCTTGCCTCTTGCCTTTCCTTGCCTTCAACTAAGCTGAAAACCTTGATAATCTCCCTTTGGGCGAGTTGAACCTCTTATAGGTTAAGTGGAATTACCCCAGAAGTCCCAAGTTTACTCCTGAAATTGTATCCTCCGAACTGGACTAGCGCGGCCGCGCTCGTGCCCGCTCTAATGGCCGCGCATATCACATAGTATTTTGTCTCGAGTTCCTGGGCTAGCGCGGTCGCGGGTCATCATTTTTAGCTCTTCTTTGCTCTCTTCTTTCACAGTACTCAGCTTCGAGGGGCTTCCCTTGCTTCAATTTAGCTTCAAACAGTATCCTAAGTCCTCCTAAGCGCAACTCGCTCCTGCAAAACATGAAATTCACAATTAGAGCCAATTAATCGTCATTTAACTATCCTAGAACAGTGAAGCATAGTCAAGTTGGGGAATAAACAGTCGCCAAACTACATGAATCTAGCCTATTATCAACACCTCACACTTAAATCATTGCTAGTCCTCGAGCAATCCACTTTACTCTATAAAGGTTTCTTCACTAAGCTTTTCCTTTAACGTCTCACACCGAGAACAATTCACCAAAGTTACGTCTAGTAGTGTACAATCTTTGCCTCAAAAGTCGACTCTCACGTGCCGTACAATATTCGTACTTACTCAAATTACTCTATACATAGGTCAAGACTTACCTTTTCTTCATGAATCACATGCCCTCACATCACACAAAAGAGTAGTTCGACAAATAATAATTTTAAGACAATTAGGAACTTAGATAGACAAAATTCGCTCACTCTCAGAAAGGAAATTCATATGCCACATCGATGCAACATAGGCTTGCCTGTAGTGTACTACTCTACTAATTGAGCCTATTCAGTCTAAGATCAAGTAGGTCTTCATTTGGTTGTAATGTAGGCTAAGGGACGGGTAGGATATATTTGGATATATTGACCAACCTCCCTAAGCACTTTTAATACAATACCATTCGCATTCCAAAATCATACTTATGTCAAACCAGACATTCCACCACACTTCTATTTGTAATACCCCAAACTTCATTAGGTGCAATGGTATCAAGCCACCACTTATCAAGTACTACACTTACTCATTCTTTTTTTTTTTCAGTGGCGCTTATTCTTTTATGTTTCAAAATACTGCACCTTTTCTCTATTTCATTGGTTCCACTCAAAAACCAAACCACCACCCCATACTTTAACTTTTGCATATTTCATAACCATTCAAGTGCTCATGGGAGGTAAAGGGGTTCAAACAGATGGGCCGTTCAAACAATTGGGTAAGGTTTGTAATGTAGTTGCCAAAGAAACAGGCTTATAGGCTCAACGGGGCTAACTACGATTTATCACATTTAGGTGGGTCTACTTTATATATCTGGCTTAACAAAGAAATGCCTATATCACTTCTAAGACTGAATAAAGCTACTATTTCACTTTGCAAACACACGGGGCAAATTCTAGGCATCAGATGCTGAGCATAGAATACAAAACAACTCACACACACATGGCACATGACTCACTCCAGATCGGCTTATCAAGACACTCTCGTTCGAGCACTCAAGTCAGTTACAAACATACAATTTAAGCCACTCTTAACGAGAGTCAACCACTGAGACTAAGTGTCACACTCTAGTGTCTATTGTGTTCATGTGTATCCATGCCAAGGGTTTCTCTTTTTATTTCAGCTCATCGCCCATCAATACTAACTGATAAAAACTAAAAACTAAATAAACAAAAACTAACTACACCCGGTTCAAGCAAAACCCTTGGGAAAGAACCGTGGCCCAAAGAAAAACCAAGGAGGAGTTACTACACTACCTAAAACAAAACAAAAAAAGTCTTTTTGGTATTTTCTTTAGACTTACTTCCCTGAAGAAAACTATCCCCAAGATCCGTCATCAGGAAGATTCTAGCATATTTTTTTTTCACGTCGACTTAGCCCTCAAGAACCCCGTCGAAAGAGATCCGCCGTTGGGACAAATCAACTTACCTAATTTGACTATTACTCACAACCACCAAAACAATCAAGAAAACAAAGAACACATAAAACAGTCAAGTTGTTACATATACACACATACATTGAAGTATCCCCCACCCCATACTTAAAATGAAGACATGTCCTCATGGCATACAAAATAAAGAACAGTGAGGTGAAGGAACTTCCCTGAGTGATCACTCCTGATCGGAGACCGTGTCTGGGTTCAGATTGAAAGCACGACCCAGAGCTCTCAGCCAGCCCAAGACTTTCTTCTCCGATTTCACCTGCTGCGCAGCCACCGCGTTAACACGTGTACCCAAGTCAGCAACCGAGGTGCGTAGTCCGGACACCTTCTGCTCCAAAGCTATGAACCGGGTAACCCGAGCAGCCCCAGATGGTGCGGGAGCCTCCGCAATTTGCTCATGGGTTGGTGACTCGGCCCTCACGTCCTCCTTCTCAGCCTCCGCTTCGTCAGAGTCATCAGATTCACCACTATCATCACCACCCGCTGCTACCAGCTCCTTCTCAGTAGTGACTTTATCTGCTCGGAACTTATGGTCTTTTGGCACTATCCCATCCATAGGCAGATTTTCCTGCACCCGAGCTGCCCTGCAAAGTCGAGTGACTAAGGAAGGGAAGAACAACCCATACCTTTTCACCGGACAACGGGTGAACATCTCCTCATGAATCACCTTGGCCACGTCAAAGTTGTGGCCATTCATAAAGCACCAAATTAGAGCAGCTCGAGGAGCATTCACCTCTGTGGTGTTGGAAGACGGGATCAGGCGGTTGTTAATGACATATAACCAACATTTCCCCTCAAAAGTAAGCGTTGAGGAGTGAAACTTCTTCCCATACTTCATCCATACAATCTCCTTACCGGGTACACAAATGGTTTCGAAGAACAACTCCCACTGGGTGTATTTCCTCCCATACATTTCATAATAGTCTTCATATTCATCCACCGGTGCAGGCAGCTGGTATATCCTCCGAATGGTCTCCACAGAGGCATCCACAACCTTTCTGCGCACAGTCACTACGCCATTCACATGTTATTTTACGTTAGCGTAGAATTCACGGACAACCATCA